TTCAAATGTTTGATGGTACTCAAAATTTTCTGCGAATACGTGCGGGATACTACGCACATTTTGTGGCCGTGTCTCGCCACCGATCTTCCTCTTTTCTTCACCTGAATTAGCGCTCTCAGCGTATCCTACCGACCCAAAGTGGTTACACAGACCACCTGCCAAAGCCCATGCACATGAGCAGCTGAAAAAGCGGGACCGGTGCGACTCTGTCCCCACTTGCACGTACCGACACTTTGGTGAAGATGTACAGCAGGATGGCGAGTACGGAGAGGTACACTCGGATCCGTTGACCGCCGAACCGCAGCCGGAGGTACTCGGGCATAGTGTACACGCCCGCTGCGGTGTACACTGGCACGAACACCCAACCGAGGAACATTAGAATGAACACCGCCTGAGGACAGCACACAAAACGCACGTTAGACGTCGGGCATACTTGTATGCACGGACCATGTGACATTCGCGGGTACACAGACCGCTAGTATTGAGCTTTCCAGAGCGTTTGGATGTGTATTCGATGCATTCAGCACGACGGCGTTCTGGCCGGACGGTCGTCAGGTGAAATCAGCATTTGGCACCTCGCCAACGGATTTTCACCTAGACAAACAGCCAGTCAGCTGCGCCGACATCGCTCAACAATGGGGACGCGGCACCTGCCGATACCTCGGATCCACTTCAGCCGTCGCTTGGAGCCGTCCGTGTCAAGCGGGAAGTGCTTGGCCGCTCCGTGTTCATCCTGTGCCTTATGTCGTAGCCCCCTCAAAACCAGCGGGAGACCACGAAGACCCGACATTGCGGTGCTGAGACCAGAGTCCTTCAATCAGACACGGTGGTGTCGAAGGTGCACATAGTGGGGAGGATAGCAGTGGACTCACGTTCAGCTCGAAGCCCGCCACGGCGATGCCGGAGGCGGCACCGGTGCCGGCCAGCCCGATGAAGTGGCCGCTGCCGATGTTGCTGGCGAACAGGGAGGCCCCCACCTGCAGGCGATGGAGGCGATGCCAGACGCACGTGGATGACGTAGCACACGGGTGATGTTTGACAGTGAGCTTGTGACTGTGACAGCAAGGGCCGGTCACACCCAGGACAGACGTAAGTCAGCAGGAAACGGTGATAACAGTGGCGTCAAGCGGTGATAGTGTAGAAAAGTGACAGTGAAAATGTGAGCATGGAGCGCTGACAACAACAAATGTTGGGCGCCCACGGAGCGGTAAGCAGCGCCAAGACTATACCGGTCTTGCACAGGACTAAGAACAAAGTTCCGAAGTGTAAAGGTACCTTCTGCTGCTTGTGCTTATACGAATGAGACAACGATAGGTGTAACAAACATCGCGACATGGTGTCACCTACAGCATCGCAGAACCCCGCTCCTTCTCACCGGTATCCAGTGCATACTGCGAGACGCCAGGAAATATCCACTCAGGTTGTCCTTTTTGCTGAACCGGGAGCTCTGCAAGACAGGTGGCGCGCTGTTAGGCTTTAAAAGCTCGGAGTCTGTGGCCAAAATAATCGGAGCTGATGTTCTAAGCAGGTACAGAATACGTGCGGAGTCGGTGTACTGTTTCTAATATGTGCTAGTCGGAGCTGGTCGGTAAGTAAGTCAGGACCAGAACGCTTCTTGGCCGGTGAAGTGCCACGCTCCCCAAATACTCAGCCGAACTGGCTCAAACCTGGGACAAAATACACTAACTATTGTACACATTGGTAGTCGCAGTGCCGTCAGCGTCAACTCAGAGCCCATCGTACCTACCCACACGTGCGCACTTTGACCTTTGGTCGCTTATCCAATGGCGTAATTGTACATATGTGTGGTATTCCACTAATCACGTGAATTTGTGAGTTTTCGGTGTTCACGACGATGTGTTCAAACAGCCATGTCCATGATGGCAAGAGAAATCGCCGACATCAAGTGGCGTGTCAGCATAAACTGGAGCCAGCGAACCCCCAAACAATCGGAGCAACTGTCTTCTTCAGCACATCCTTCTCAACACCTTCCGGACATTGGGGATGGAGAAAAACCCCATAGCTTTGGTGAGAAGAGTATACCGGTCGGCCGGTCGGCACAAATGCATAACCACTCACTTCATATATGCTTTAAGGCCCCCATTGTTCCATTTTCGAACATCTGTGCGTAAGCATCGATCGCTCGCGGTCGTTATGCGGCCGCCAGTGTCGGTGTGGCGCGGGCAGCGTCTGCGCGTACAGCTGAATACTGGGGTGAGGTCAGTCGAGCGACGTGACCTCCAATGAAGCGGCCCTCGGGGTGACTTCCGACTCGCCACTTGAGACGCTCATATCACGGCCATGCATTCAGCGAGAACCACAGGCCCGTTCCTACCGTGCCTATATGACCTGGAATGACCTCTGAGGACATAAAATAACGTACTTCAGGCGGCATCCTCCTCTATCGACATGCGCATGTGTCCCTGTTTCCTTGCGACACAGCGCCTCGTGAAGCCTTTAGACTTGCGTATGCAAATGAGCTACTGCATACAGAGCCCCGCATGCTCCGATGTCTGGACGCAGCCTCCGGGCGTCGGGTGGTTTTCGGAGACAACACAAAATGGAAGGATGAAAAAATAGCACAAACCAAGCGTTTGCGAGGTGAAGAAGCCAAGTCCATGATTTGCCACTTTCCTTGTTATTCGTCAATTCATTGAGCTCCTAACGTGATGTGGCAGAGTCTATTCCGCTTTAACCTGGGCATGACCTAAAAAAGCAGCTGAAGGCCATCTATGAGCCAGCAAAGCTCTGAATATTAGCGTATCAAAAATACGCCATAGCCGTGGTGCAAAGCTACAGCGAACCGATATGATAGCGGATATTATTGCCAAGCTTTCCATGCTTCTGACCGAGTCGGGCTGCTTTGCCAAATTTATAATTCAGATTTTACAAGATTGTGGACCGTGATACAGAAAACATAACCAAAACGCAAATGGCATCAATTGAACGTACGCCCAGGGATGTGGTCCACGAAGGAAATGGGAAATAACAGCTCTCTTTCATTCTTAAATGCCTTAATATCATGGCCAGGAGACGAAAGCCTAACCAGAGGAGTCATTAGGAATACAAAGCTCACGGGACTCGAACTTAATGACAAGTCATCGTAACCAACGCGTGGTGTCAGTGATTCGATATCTGTTACAAAAGATCTATATATTGCCCTCGAATGGAGACGGGGATAAAAGACAAGAATATAACTAATTATTCAAATTAAACCTCTACCCGACACACGTTTTTTCAAAAGGTCGTCGAAACCTTGACCATGAGAGGAGGCAAAACGCATCAGGGAGCGATCGGCCCTTCGTGAGGATACCGTGCGTTTTTATTTCTGGGAGAGCATTGTTAAGTCACCTTGGCATTCATGAAGCCATGATAACGCCATTCAAATCTGCCATGACGTATTAAGCAGCATATTCACTAAACAGAGAAATCGTGTCGTCTAGAGCAGTCTTAAAAAATTAAAAGTACGCCAATAGTTATCAGTGAGCTTATTTCATCATATCTGATGACTGGTTCATTATCTTAAAATGTGGAACATTCCCTTTAAGCAGGGTATCTGCACTTCTCGGGCGGCCAATGGCAGCCTTTTGAATATACATCCGGGGGACCGACAGTGGGCGACACAGCATTTGAAAATGATTAGAAGTAGGGTTGATGCAGGAGAACAACACATTTGTAGTGTTGTGTTACCTCAGCCGTGTTTGCGAACTGAGGGATTGCGATCAACACGTCTGCTTCATTCCATTTCATATACGTGAGCTTCAGCCTATTTCGATGTCGTGATGTACCATTGGTGCATGAATGTAATGGATTTGGGAGTACGCGGTAAAGATGGTCGTGTGTTACAGAGATATTCTCGATCATAGTTTTAAGTCAGTGTGTGAGAAGACAAATCCTGCAACATTGCAAAAAAGTATCGTATCTGGTGCTTATTATGGGTGTATAGCTGACGGTTTGCGTCACTGTTAGCCTGATTTAAAAGTGAATCGTTTTTTCATTCGGGATTTCAGAGCGAATTATATGTCATAAGTGTTTACGATATTACTGCCTGTGATTTTGTTCTGTGTTGTTCCCTTAATGAGCATTTGGTTTCCGTAGTATTTAGTGACCAAGGTAGTAAATATGATACAGATTATCCGGAAAGCAAGCTTTAATTGAAAAGAAACTACGGGAGGATATCTTTTGAAAATTAACTGTATCCCAACTAAATAATATTTCGAAACGGAACAAAACTTTAAGAAAAATGACCAACGCGCGCAATGAGATTATCATGCTTGGTGCACGATGCCCATAACATCAAAGGGAGTCCGGTGACGTGCTCCCTTACATGCTTGGCAGCCTTTATGTTAAAGGCAGGCATTGGTGTCATACGTGTCAAGGGCAACAAGACTACTTTAGTTTGGACACCGCTCCACACCTCCAAACGATGCATCACATTTCTTAGAATTGGTCGACACAATGGTCTTTGTGTTTTGAGGTTCCCCGCCAGGCATCCAGATCCATACGTCAAACCAATTATTTTCCAATATTCTGCGTTTCAAGTTCATCGACGTGCGTTTTCAGGCCTGTCGCAGGAAGAGGAAGTAGAGACGCCAGCAACGGAGCATTTTCAAAATGGCCGCATTTCTGCAACGCACGCGCAGGTCTGAGATGACCACCCCGAGTTGGTGGCACGGGGTGCCTCGCTGGCAAGGGTCTGTGCGGAGTTCTGAGCTGGCGTTGATGTTTGAATCGGCGTCGAAGCACGAATGCTTTGCTCCATGGTGATGGAGTCATTGCCCTGAGCGAGCCTTAAGCGCCGACAGGTAAACTTTGCGTCGAGAGTGAGAGCGAGGGGCAGCGACATGGAGAGCGAGAGGAGGGCTCTCCCTCCCTCTCGGAGGAGGGCATGATTGCACTCGATTATAACAGGTATTTTATGTGCATGCTGTTCTCTCGCTGCAAGCACTACCCATGACCGACAATGACCTGATGTCAGAGGTGTTTCTAACCCAAAAGGTGTTAAAATCGGCGTGCATGAAAGCTTTCGCCTATCAGAGGGCGCCATAGTTCAGCAATATGTGAATAATTTCACAGGATAGCAATAGCCGTCAACTCAGTGCCCCTCAAACACAGTGAACGACAAAAGGGAATCGAAATGGTGACGCAGAAAGTGGCTTAGAAAAAAATCAAAGAACACACTTACATATTCATGAACGAAAAACGAGTCATCGAATATCTCAGTGGTTTTCTAGGATGGATTCAGTGGCGGGGCAGGGGGGGGGGGGAGGGGCAACCGGACCCTGGCCGCACCTAGATGACCGAAGTCCGGCAAACAACAATTATGAACTTTGGTAAGAAATGAGGTAGCTATTTTCAGGTGAAGTTTGTATTAGAACAAAAGGACTTTGGTAAAAATTTAAGTAGCTATTTCCAAGTGAACTTTGTTTTAGAACGAAACTTGCGGTAAAAAACCAACAAAATTCGATCAGCACAAGTTTTTGGACTTTTGCGCCGAAAGCCGGTGCTGGTATTGGCTTTTGCAACAACTCGGAAGGCCTTCTAGGATCCACGGTTCTTTGAAAATGACGCCGAAAAAGTCGTTTGCGACCCGGGATCCAATTTCGGGACCCATGAGTTCAAATGTGCCTAAGAACACATATTCTCATTTCGCGACAGAAAACATCGTATTATCTTCACTGAACCAATGAAAAACGGCAGCAAAGGCACGAAAACTCCAGGGCTTACTGGAAAAAAACGCATTCTGAACCTGACACGGAGCCTCTCTTCAGATTGCTTGACACGCAGGCGAAGACTTACCAGCAGGCCAACGGCCAGAACGATGATGAAGTAGATGACCACGACGACCACGTCGCCCCAGTGCAAGCTGCCGATGCTGGAGGCATCCGCCATGGCGTCCGGGTCGGCGTCCATGTCGGCAGCGCACAGTCAACCCTCGCGACGCACCTGTCCGCACCAACTGGCGAGCGGGCGGCGGCGGCGGCAGCGGCGGTAGCTGACCTTGGATGAGACCTTCAGGTGAGTGGGACGCCCAGTTGTAGCCGGCAAAACGCGGCGTCGGACGGCGGGATGTTCGCGGTAGAGAAACCGTGCGGCAGGGACCTTCGGCCGAGCGAGCGTGATCGCTTGCGGAGCTGGGCTGCCACAGAACGTGCTCAGGCGCGGGGGGGGGGACTCGACTGCAGGGTAGCGTCGGACCGGCCGCGAACCTCCCGTACGCGCGATCTGCCTGCTCGCTGTACACTGGCCCGCGACGGCGCGGCCGGCGGTTGTTGCTGAAGGAGCCGCCCGGACCACGGCTCGGCGAAAATCCCCAGCGGCGAGGTGACGTCGCCAGACTGGGGGGGGGGGGGGGGGGCAGGGCGGACGATCGCGGAATAGCTCGGAAGTGCGGTAAGTCCGGTGGCGTGTGGCCGACCGACACACTCACACCCGACGGCTAAGAGCTCAGGGGCGCAGACGGGCGGGCCTGGAGCCTTAGCCCCCGCCCCCCTCGCCGTCACGTTTGAGCGCGGTATTTTTCACCACGACAGTGCCGGATATATTTCCGGAATCTGGTGGTTAGGAAAACTATTTTGATTTTCAATGTTACAGTCATAACAATCGGCAGGGACATAGAGAGACCAGCAGCCATAATTTAATGATCTAGCCAAGTTAATATGTATGGAACGCCAGCTGAAACCATTGTTCCGGGTACAAGGGCAAATAAATATCGATAACAAATTGATACGCTAGGTCCTGTAACTATTGCCGCTTGTGCCGCCTGTTAGTCTGTTCGGAGAGCGTAGGTACCGCCAATGGCGCGTGAACTCGCTCGTAAAAAGACCCCCCCCCCCCCATCGCTGATCATGGTAGCCCCCTCCCGTTACAAAATCTGATTGCGCCTCTGCGCTCGCTGTCTCTTCTAGCAAGTACGCCAATGTTCGGTGCTATGACACTCCAGCCAACACCAGGCGGCGGCCAAAAGCGGGATAAGCAAACACGCATTGGAAAATGGTCCTTGTAAACGCATTTTGAAATCGGCTTTGCCTGCTGTCCTTGTGATAGATTTCACCAATGCTATTTTCAAATGGATACTCGGAAAGGATTAGCAGGATTAAAGGCCTATACCACAACGAATACGGGAAGTTCTGGTGTTGGTAACGGTTCTGGTTCTGGTAAAGTCGTGCTTCACGTATTAGTGGAATATCTATTGTTCGTGCCGCTGGGGCTACTAATCTATCCGGAGGATTAGACTGAAAAAGCACACGTGGAAATACACGCTCGTGTCTGAACCATGAACACCACGAACTAGCCTCAAAAGGCCTTAGTAACGTAAGTTCGCGACACATAGTCGTTCAAGCGCCCGGTGATCGCCCGCTTGCTATGTGTTGCTACGCTAGCAAAGCACGGCTAGTGGCGAGGACTGACGCTCCGGGCATAGACGCTTTTGCCGTTGAAGATTGCGAACGAGCATGCTCGAGGCGATTTTGTCCGAAATCGATTCTGAATCGATTCTGAGGATAATTGAAAAACGATCGATTCTAAGAATAGTTGGGCGTCCTAAGGCGACCATGGGTGGTCATGTCAGCACAAAAGTTTTGAGCCCAGTTCTACCCAGCTTTTTCAACACTAGGAGACAGCTCAAATTTCCTGGATAAAGGGCCCTGTCAGAACAGCACTGAGGACTACTCACCCCTATCGCAAGGGGCTGGACGGCCCTTCCGTCCCAGCCCGGGGTCCCGACCAGCTGTCCTTCTGGCGGCATGGGAACCGGGGGCTGCTGGTCAATCTGGAGGACTTTTAAAGAATACATCAAACATCAGTCACCTTCCTTACGCTGGAGGCCCTCTGACCTGGGCAGTTTGCCTTGGATCGGTGCAGGCATCCCTCCTAACGCAAAAGGACCCCTTACCGGCGCAGAGGGTCCCCTTATTGGTGCAAGGGCCAGGGACCCCAGCTGGGCCCATTGGGCCTCTGGCTGAAATGTGGCGGGGGTCTCCGTTCAGCAATGGTGTCGCTGACTGACACAGGCATTTTGACATGACGCGTGACGCATTTCGATTAGCACCCGCTAGCGGGTTTTACTAGTGCTGTGCATGGTGCATCTTTTTCGTAAAACCAAATGACCTATTTTGAGCATCATTGCATCACATTTTTTAGAAACTCAGGAACGCAAGGTTTCGTTGTCAGGGGTAGGTTGGGTCAACTCGGTCGACTGATCCCCCTCAGTCAACTTTAGAAAGTGACACTTCTGGCTCAGGTGTCATGTTGAGAGATCAGTAGAGCGGTAGAGCGGTAGAGTGGTGGATGTATCAAACCGCTGCGTTGCGCCGGGCAGACGCACTAGGAGCCCAAACAGCCTTCATTAGGTGGCGCGTGTTGCCAAGAGAGTGGTTGGTGCAGATGAGCTCATGCCCATGAGAGGATCATCAGGTTTACTGCAGTGCTCGGGCGATATGGAAGTTGTCGCGTCCCCACAATTCAACAGGATACATCAATATTCACCGACTTGGATCCGTCAAGCACTGGAAGCTGTCGCCCTTCTCTTCCAGCATGTTTACTCCTGGTTCTGGCGTGCCGGATTTCCCGTATGTCTCTGGAAAGACACAACTACCATGAACGCTTTGTGGCCAAGCAGCCGCAGTGCACAAGAAACCAGATTGAAAGATAACACTCACCCTTAGGGCCGGTTAAATGTAACGCACTTGAGTGTACGGTCAATTTGGCCACTCTCTTGCATCTCAAATAACAGAGCTAGAGAGAACAAATTTACAGAATAAGTAGCCCTTTTGCGATCCATTTGTGCCGAATTTTGAGATGTCTAGGTCACTTGCGCTTCAATCTCTCATCTCTTTGTTTCATGTGACTCACTCACTCACTCACTTTGTTTCAAATGAGGTCCAATAAGGTCAAACTCCAGAACGGTGTTCCAAATGCTCGCAGATCTTCTCCCGCAACCGACTTTAGCCTAGATACCTTTTATAAGCCAAAATCATCCGATATTTACATCAGGTCAGTGATCCGATCTGATCTTTCGAATGACAACATGGCCAAAAATCTTCCGGACTGTTTTGTTATTTAAATTCAAAATCAGCATCTAGAGCTAAACTAGGCAGTAGGTTCCTCGGAGTGAGAGGCCGGTCATGTCAGTTAAGGTTACGGTTAATTAAGGTTATTCAGTTAAGGTCTGTGGCCTCCTCTGAATTTTATAAAGTAAAATTAAGATGCCTGTTGACATCCCTATGATCAGGGAACTTGAAATGAGTGCCAAAAACGAGCCGCTAAAACACATTTTCTAGCAATAAATCATCATGGTTTTGATCTTGATATGACTCTCATACCTCACTCAAGGGTCATGAAATTGGTCGCACTACTAAAATATACGCGCCAATTGCCTACGAATCCACCTGAAAGTTGAACGACTTAATCTAGAACTCCGTTGTTGTCCAGGTCGAACGACTCCCTAGTAGTCGCCTACGGTGACAGTCATGCCCTTTCGTTGACCTGCCATGCTTCAGCAGTTCAGCGACCGTACAAGACATATCCGATTGGTGTGCACCGAAGCTCGGTTATGAAACTGCCGACAGCCCTTATAAGCTTGCCACGCCACGCCGCACCGCTAAACAGCTTCGCTGAAACACACTTCGGGAGTGATCAAATTTGGCCCTCACACGATCTCATCGGGGAAATGAAGTCGCTCTTAATGTGCTACGCTAACACACAGAGTTCAATCGAAGCTTTCATTCGCATTCCGACAATCACGTCGGCGACTCACCGGCGTGCACCCGGTCGTGACACGTGACTGCCTGATGACCATGGTGAGCGTGACACCAGCCCCGCTCGGGTGGCACGTGACGCGCACGGGCCGCGCGCTGCCACCTGCGTTGCGTCACGCTCGATGGCGGGTGACCGGGCCGGTCCGGAGACGGGCGAACCAGCGGCAGGGGCGGGGTGTGCTCGGGCCGGCCGAGGTCACCGCGCTACCGCTGCTGCAGCATGAGGCATGAGGCGCGACCGGAGGCAAACCCGCTCTGCGGCAGATGCGACCGGACTCGCGGTAGCTGCAGCCGACGTCTGAACTTAGGAATGACTATCATCGTGACGAGCAGGCTGTCCTGGATCCCAATCTGAGCACCTTCGGGCATGTGGGCGTCCCGCATTTTTCGTCGCTTGCTTTCGACACACGTTGCGTGCAAGGCCTGCATTAGCAGACCATAGCTTCGACTATGACAACAGTTTCAACTCGAGCGGCCCGGCTGGGCCGTCAGACTCTTTCGAGGCTGAGTAATCTTTATCACTAATCGCAGATCTATGCGGCTTTCAGTAGCGAACAGTCGGCGGCTTTAGAGGTTCAACGGTAAATATTGGTAGAAGGATACACGCAAGCTGCTAATCACAGAAATTTATCCTGCAACACTATAATATTAACATAATTTCACCTTTTAGGATAGAGATGACAAGGCACAATTTTCAACAATGGGAAGCTGAGAATTGTGCATTGCATGTGTCATGCACATGCAGGGGGCGTGTCACCAGCGTGATGACCGCACAGTGCCAGGCCGACCGCCCATCCCTCAGGTATTTTGACCGGGCTGAGCAGCGGCAGATGACACGGTGCCATCGCCGTCTTCACGCCACGTCGACATGATCGCTGGCAGCAATGAGCAGGCTATCAGGGTCGGCGCAGGTCATTGACCCCTGCCGCCGGCCCAGATCGGCTCCGAACGGGGTGTTCTCCCGCGATCGGGGTCACTTATAGTGACCAAACGCGCGGTGGAAATTTCAGCGTAGTGATCGTGTCGGTTCAAACTGTGCGTGTACGGGGGGGGGGGGGGGGCTGTCTGGAGAACTGGTAATATGGGTGGCGAAAACACCGTGGCAGTTATTACAGCAGCGATGTCAACTTTCCCAAAATACACACAATTTTAGCACTTTCTTAGCGAACGACGCTCTTCCCATTCCTCACATGCCAAGTTTTCTCAGCATTCTCCACGAGCTGTTTATCTATGGACGACTTCTTTGGGCGAGGCCGGCACTGGTGTTGGCCAATGCTCTTGTGTTTTGAACAGAGCTCTTCTGCGCTTGCATTTTGATATTTGCGCGCTGCAAACCTATTGATGAGCGTAATGAATCCGATTGACCTACGCAGGCTCCGGAGCTCCCAGGCGCACCGAGGCCAACTGATGTCGATGTTTTCTACGGTCTATAGCTCCTTAAATGTCACTTTACTAAGC